CTGCAAATGATGCTAAAATTTCAAAGTACATACAGAATTTATTAAAGACTCAAATTTTAATTAAATACGTGACCGAATGATATAGAGTAAAATCAACAGCCTTAAAAGTCAAAAAAGTGCTGTTCGTTCGCGGTTAAAGTTGAAAAATTTAAGACTACAGCGACGAACAGTCAAATTATTCTGTAGGTTTTTATACGTCATTGTTTCTGCAGTCGGCAGCAGTTCTTAATGACCACAAAACATCCAAAGATGCTTTAAAAAAAACTGTTTGTTACTGTCACTATTTTGGTAATGAGCTTAGCATTCTAAGCTTCAAAAGCTCGTAAATGCGCAGGTCATCCAGCAATTCACTTTTTCGGTGGCTATTTTCTAGCTCTATTTACAACGCTCAAAGCATCTTTTTACCAGTCTCAATTTTGTTATTTCAAATACACAAATAATTTATCAAGGTAGTTACATAGACATTTGTTTCGTCGTTCAAACTATGAAATTTGAAACCTTTGTTTTTTACTAAGCTAATTATAACTTGTTTACTTAGAGTTTACTGGTTCTCTTTAATCACTTCTTAAGATATTTTATGAAACCGTTAATTGATTGCCAATGTATTACAAAATACAGACAAAATATATAATAAGCAAAAAGTGTTTCAAAGATTTATGCTGGGCTTACTCGGTTGACAGTCGAGCAGATTATGATAAGTTATGCAAAACTGTATACAATCTTAAATTTTCTCTGCTGATCACAAACGGTTTTAAGTTTCTTAAGAAACTCTAACAATTATACCTCATCAATATTTTGTGTTTGACCAATTCTCTTATCAATATTTTCAAAAGTTTTCAACTTTTAAACAAATACAATTAAGTACTATATTGAAAGAAATAAATGTGTTAATTTAAAAAAGTTTTCTTCAAAGACATTGAAAAAAACAGTCATAGTAGAAGAAAAAAGTTGATAAATTAAAAAGTAGTGGTTATTATTTGAAAAATGATTTATAAACTACTTTATCTTTATTATTGTCTGTTCCTTCTTTTTTTCTCTTTTTTCTTCGCTAATATTTTAAGACTAACCGTGCCTTAAATTTGAAACCTTACAAGTTTATTGTTATGCTTATACTATTAAAATTAGTTGTGAAACGAAGTGAAAGAATTTTATATGCAAGTGTCGATATTTGTTTGTTGAAGTAGCACTAAAATAAAATGGTGAAAAGCTAGAATGATCTGTTATTAATAATAGATTAAATAGTTTATTTTACAGTGGCTTACTAGAATTCTGATTAGTAAGTTTTTGTTGAACCGAAGACTGTTAGCTTTTGTTGAAGTAATAGATTGCTTTTCGTATATATCAACAGGATTTGCTCTACTGATGAGCCTCAAGAACTTAAATTTCTGAAGCACTGCAATAATTTCGTTTCTTCCTCTTCAGAATCCAGCAATCTGTAGGCTATGCCGAAACCACTAAAAGAATTCAAAAGATTTTTTTCGTTTGGTTCGTTGGTTTACTTCCTTACATTTTGCTCAGCACTAAGCGGTTTCTGCATGGGATACGATGCTGGAATTGCCTCACCGGCTTCAATGTACATTACCTTTGATTTACTAGGCGGTGCAGAGCCATGGTCTGATACGCTTTCAATAGCTCCTTCAGGTTTTGCTCTTTTTTCGTTTTTTAAAGCGTATTCGCTTTTAAAATAATTCCTCAAAACTTCAACTACTAAGATTTTTTTAGATATGGTAAGTAGCACCTTTAGCGTAAGTACTTTACCTAGACTGCGTAAAATTGCTTCATTATGCTTTATGAAGTTTTATTAGGTCTGGATATTGCTCATCTGACAAATTAATTTTAGCAGAATCAGTTTAGGAGCTGCAGCTATTGGCGCTTTACTGACAATTCCAGCAGGTGACTACTTTGGCCGTAAAAAAGTTATTATGGTTTCATGCATTATTGAAATACTCGGATGTCTGATATCTGCAACTTCTTTTGGAACGCTGCAACTTCTAATTGGAAAACTTTTGTTGGGCTTGGCTTTAGGTGGTTTTTTTATTGCTTTATTTGATGTTTCTTCTAATTTTCTAACATCTATCATCCTTTTTTTTCTGTCAATTTTTTTTTATTCAGAAATGTATCTTTACAATTGTTTTGCGCATTATAACTGTGCATCTACATAGATCTGTTTAATAGGACTGTCGTCGGTTATGGTACCAATTTATATTGGAGAATCATCTCCAGCTAGTATACGCGGTTTTCTGATAACACAATATCAACTTTTGTCTACAATTGGTTACTTTGCCTCGTCTGTTCTTGGAGGTTATTTTGCTCTGAACATATAGCATTTATCTTTCCCGTTATGCGCTAGTGCAGCTAATATTGCTATTCTTGTAAACTATCTATAGATGCAGACTGATAAAACTGCAATAATCAGCTATAACAAATAAGATTTTTGAAAAAAAAAAACGTTTTTAGGAGTACTTTCGTACCTAGAACCTTTGTACATTGGATGGCGTCTTATGTTAGGAATTACAGCTATACCGTCATTTATTCAGTTTGTTTTTACTTTCAAGCTTCCAGAAAGTCCACGGTGGCTCTTTGCACACGGATACCAAAATAATGCAATTCAGGTTAAACATTAAGGGTCAACAGAGTTCATTCTACGATTTCTTAGTGAAGCTTACCAGAAATTATCTATTTTATACTGAAATTATTCAGATATTGTAATATTTATCTTTCCTTTATCTTCGTGTATTTGAAAATTTTATTTACTTCTGCAAAGCAATTATACACTTCAGTTGAACAACTGAAAATTTATAAGTTTTTTAAAAAGCCTACATCGTCAGTTTATATGGCAAATGGTAACAAAGATTTCTTAACAAACTTTAGTTTTTTATTGAATATTAGAAAAAAACTGAAGTTATTTTTTTTTAGATCTTACGAGCTTTGTTTGGCAACCAGTCATCTGTAGATGCTGAGATTGATGAGCTTATTAAAACTTGTGGTTCGGAGAAAACAAACGGCGTTGTTGATAAAAGTACGTTTTTTTGTTGCTTTAAAAAATTTATGAGAATCTTTACTTACTTTTCTTGGTAATAGCATAAACACAATTTTCAGTTTTTTTTTTCTTATTCACAATCTTGACAGCAGTTTTTATCATGATCTTAAAACAATAACTTAATATACTATAATCAGCTGATATTGCTGTTTCATAATTCGGAAAAACTCCACATCATCAGCAAATTGAAAACTCCCTTATTTTAGATGGCAAATTAATAGTATTTCGTGCGTTCAGTACCAGGCATGTCTTACGAGCGTTTGTCACAGCCTTACTGAATCACTTGTTTCAGCAACTAAGCGGGATCGGCACTTTAATGTGTGTTTTTGTTTGCAATTTTTTTCAGCCAATAATCCGCTACACAGAACATCTCAGTTTATCAATATAAATTGTGCCAGTTCAATAACTTTAGATCTTTCGTCACTTATTATTTTTTCGTAATGATTTATTCAAATCACCGATTTGGCTATTTTTAATAATTTTATCAAGTTTTAGCTTCTATAGTGTCATATTAGGTTGATTTATTAGTAATATCACATTGCTGTGTTTTACTGCATTTTGCCACAGTTTTACCTGAGATCAAATATCTTCATTAGTTAAAGCATTACGGAAATCAGTGGATAGTTACCAACGTGCAGTTAGTTCTGGCATTTCAATAACAGAGAAATACATGGGCCAAGACCAGGAAAAACTACTATAGTTTCTTTTGAGTTTAACTTAGATCACAAAAACTTTTACCAGAGAATAGGAATCTGAATTTTCGAAAGGCCACAATTTGAGGGAAGGAAAAGTAAAGTTAAAATAATGAATACTCATGCCTAAGTCTCATGAAACTTTCCAGCAATATTTCGGCACATGCGATACGATGTTTTCATACGGTAACAATATTTCACCTACTTTCGTCACGCACAAGATAACCTTCTGCAAATTCCTATTAATACCAGCTAAATCTGAGCAATGTTTCCTGCTGTAATAGTCCAATCAGAATTGAAAGCGTCTGTTTCAGTGATTTTAAAAAGTTTTTTGTAAACGATAGTCGTTGTCTGTCGGTAACAAATTTGAGCTTGATGACAAGATAAGAGATTTACGATGGCCAATTAATACCCAAACGTCTTTCGATTATCACACGGCACTCACTTCTTGTCGCAGATGAAGACGAAAATGAGTTATTTTCTAAGCCTTGAAGAAGGTTCTTGCAATCTGCACTTGTTTTATTAGCTGCAACTGAATGAGCTCAAAAGGTAATTGACGTTTTAGCCTCATCTTCTCCACTGGGAGTATTCGGCGAGCGACTGTATCATCGAGGCTCCTGGGTCTGCCTGTACACCATGAATTCCAATTTTGGTTTATCCACAGCTTTCTCCTTACAGTTCTGATTGTCAGAATAAGATGCTTTATTTGGACGGTGTTGAAATTTTAGTAATTCGTACCACCCTCGCACAAATCGTTCATTCAAACAAAACGCTTATTAAACGCTTCAATCATTTCTCAATTACCTTTAACACTATTTGTTTCTAACTTGCACAGGGAAAGGGAACTAGCATAAAAACTTAGCCGTCTTCTTCGGGCAAAAAATTCTTGAAAAGACATTTCAACAAAACGGAAGCAGGGCCATAATAAGAAAATAGAGCGGAGAAGAACTTTTTTTAGTTTATTACAGGCCACTTCTTTTCATGTAATTTACTAATCTGAGAAGGTTTTAAAACTAAATTTTTAAAATGCGGTATTATTAATAAACCGACTTAATAAATGATTATGAGTCTAAACCATAAGTATTGTTAAGCCTGAGATCCTTTCAGGAATTATTCGGTGTCAATCTTTAGAGCTGTGGGTATGCAGAACAACCATTCAATTATTTGGACTTCGTGCTTAATAACAGGTTTTCTTTTTGTTTCCGAGCTGATTTTTGTTTGAGCATTAACTTATTTACCATTCTTTATGTATTTAAATGGCCATCAACAGAGAAATTCTAGTAATGTAATGTTTTTGAAAAGTTAATCTATCGAATTTTTGACTTTATTATTTTACATTACTTAAAATTGAACTCTAGATGTTTTAATTTTTTTAATAGTAAATTTTTTATTGTAAAAGTGAACCTGAAATTTAGGAGTCAATGTGCTCGCTACATTTATTCCGGTAATGCTCATTGATCGTTATGGGCGTCGTTTGTTGCATCTGATATCAGTAACTGCAGTTACTGCAGCGTTGTTGCTGCTGGCAACATTATTTTATTTTATTAATCGTTTTTCCATTCCAACGGTAGCTGTTGGTGATACTTTGGGGGGATACGACTTTTTTACGAAGCCGCTTACACACAAATGCATGGGTCTCAAGTCTGTCAAATCATTTAATTACTTTAAAGCAAACTCGTTAACTGTTTAAAATTTTTTTCTTCCTAATCTGGTGAGATGCTTTGACAGAAGTTTTAAGAGCCTGTTTATTATTAAAAATAGCAAAGCATTTTGAAGAAACATATAAATCTTCGCTGAGCAAGTAGCGTCGGCAAAAACCGTTATAAAAAAAAGTAGCAAATCTGCCGACGGGTAAGGACCAATGACTAGAACTATAAAAGTAGCTTTCCTAACCGAAATTTAACTAATCAGAACAATTTTTTTAAATAAACTTTTTCAATTATCAAGAGAAGAGTTATTTTCAGCAAATTTCCAAACCTCTTTTTTCGCTTTTGTCTATACATAGAAGCAATAGAATAATTATTGATGCTACAGTAATTAGAATAATTTTTTGAGGTAAAAGAACACTGCTTTTTTAGTAATAGAAAGTTTTAAAAAAGAACAGTCTTATGATTTTCTTCTGACAAGAATCCGCTATTTTCTAATGACAAAATTACGTACCACTCTTTGCAGATATGCTGCACTTTTCAAATTCGTTATATAATTGTCTAGTTTTATGAAAATGAGAGGCAGATGAGATATTTATATGGCATAAGGTCTTTTTAGCAATTGTGATTAAAATAAATTTGTGAAACAAATGGTTATATATTTTCAGAAATTGTGATGCATGCATCGACAATAAAGACTGTGGTTTTTGTCAACAAAACCATGATTTTACATTTGGGTAATTAATTAAATATTTATTGTAATAAAAGTACTTTTTAAGGAAAAAAATTTGGTTAATAGTTTTTTATAGTTAAAAGATGATCCATTTATTGAATTTTTCTTCAAACAGCTAGTAAGAAAGCATGAAAGTGTTGGCAAAAACCAGGTACTGTCTCCCTCGACAAATGAACGGCTCTCAGTTCATATTTGCCTCTACATTCGGTCCATGCAGACCAGGATATAACATAAGCGCTTACAAATGGCAAGAAGAATTTTGCGATAGCAAATATACGACGGCCACTACCATCGCCATTGGGCTATGCGTCATATTTTTCGCTGTCGGTAAGAATTCTTTACGCAGACGTTAACATTGACACAGGTGACCACAGAATCGGTTCCACTGTATCTGTCATTAAAGTGGTGGGTTAATTTGAGTCGTTCAGTAAAACTATTTATCATACACCGGCCTCTCTCCTCCGTAATCTACGCATATGCGTTGCAACCAAAAAATGAAAAGCAAAAAACTTCGTCGTAATGACATCCTGGTTTTTCCAGTGTTGACTAACACTAATCAAACCTTTTGCAGCCAACTTTTAAACATGTATGCTAAAATTGACGACAAATTAAATTAGTTAAATAAAATAGCCCGGCAAAAATTTAAGATCTCGGAAAAAAGTTTCTTTTGAGTTTCGTATTTTCTTCGGTTTTTGGTCTTGCGGGCTTTGGTTAATTCATTATATTGCAGAATCACAACTTATGCTAAGAAAGGAAAAAGTATAGTTTCTGACAGGTAGTAATAGTAGTTAAGGCGGGTAAAAGAGTGGATATCTTAGAAAACCATAGAAAAAGAGCCAACACAGGCAAAATCCCTTTATCATAATTTTACTTCTGAAAAGAAATGCAGAAAATCTGATCTGTATTAAAAAGAATCTTCTGTAAAATAATTTTTTTCAAAATTATTTCATAGTTATCAAGGTTGTCGTCAAGTAAACCATGGCTGCCACTAGTAAATCAAAATCTCAACTTGCTGATAATGATGATATCGAGGTCTTTTAAAGATTCACTTCATTTTGGACACAAAATTTCTGTAAATATACGTTTTTTAGAAAAGCATTAAACCGAGCAGAAAAGAGATTTTTTGTCTGTTGTCAAATATAGCAATTACTTGGTAGTAAAATTTGAAAAATTCTTTGAAGAATACGTTCTCCCACTAAATTTTTACAAATATTTTTGGCAGATACACAGCGGTTGACAAATACCAAATTGAAAAGTGTCTGCACCTGAGTATTGCTTTCGATAAAAAAGGCTCTTCAGCAGTGCAACTAACTTCCTAAAAAGCTAAAAACTATCTGATCAAAACTGAATAGTCCTAATGCTGGTAGTTTGTTGCGAACTTAAGACGAGGTCGCACACGCCCTACTGGGATAAAATTTTCTGTGTTTGTATTCACTGACCCGGTAAAGATTGAGCTTGAAAGGTATTTGACTCAACTTGTTTCTCCTTATCATTTCCACGACAACTGAGCGGGGAATAATCTGTAGATGGTTAGTTCAAAAAATCAGAAGTTGGAATAAAATGCCTCAGAATATCCCATAGACTTTTTCTGGCTTGCAGTTTAACAATCTTTTGGAAAAAAAAGATGACATAACAATAATCTATACATGTGAATTCACCGTCAGCAGTTCGTTATGAGCAGTTTTTAGCTTTTAAATAAAGGGTTTTTCATATTCTAACAAACGTAAAAATTCTTCAGTTTTTAATAAGCATTATAGGTAAACGCTCATCAGAAGGGTGAAAGTGGGCTCATGAGTACACAAATTATTATACCGCAAAACACTGTGCCACTAATTTGAAAATTACGTATACAAAGCCATTTTATCTGACTTAAAAACTTTCCTGCTACTATAAAGCTTACTTATCCAATCTATCTAGGGTTTTCACCAATGTCTTGGATTTCCAATGCCGAATATTTTCCCCTTTGGGCCAGAGTCACTTGCGCTGGCATATCGACATTTTTTAGCTGGCTAGCTGCCGTACTAGTATCAATTTCCTACCTGAACCTAGTATATACACTTGGGAAACACGGTTAAATTATAAAAGTTTTTTGTCCCATACAAATTTAAACAGTTTATCGATATTACCAGCTTGTAATTTCCCAAATTCTTTTCAATGATAAAAATAATTCTAAAAAAATTTAACAGATTCTTACAGCAATTTCTTATTCAACTGAGTAATCACAAGAAAGTAGGTTTCAATTCATTATAACCATCTACCTACTGTTTAGGATTGTTCTACATTTATACCGGTATAGTGTTAATTGCACTTGTCTACATGTATTTTGTCTTGCCGGAAACAAAAGGAATTATCTTGGAGAACGTGGAAACGTTGTTTATGACACAGAGAGAAAAAGATTCTTTATACTACATAAGTCATCTGTATCGTCACAAAACTATGGTATTGCCACACTCTGATTCAGACTACAACATCCAACGGCTTTAAATACTGGAACTTCCAGTAATACAAAAATCTGTGTAATTTTGAAACTGACTTTAATCTTAGTGTTTTTGTTTGATTAGTATCATGTTGTTGAATATCATAATATTTTGTTTAGTGTCGTATAGAACTGTAAAATTATTTGTCTCAAAATCATTATGCGCAAATAATACAGAGTCTAAAAAAAAATAGACTAAAAAACTACATGACTGTATGTGTGATTACTTCTAACAACAAAAACAGCAAAACAAAAAGTTATTTTGCTCAAATTAAGTACTTTTTTTTCTGAGTTCTAACATTTTAAGTCTTAATAGGAATATTACTGTTCTGCTTCATACTAATCTTCTTCTTCGTAAAAACTAAAGATTCACTGTTTTTATTAACCGCAAAATTCGTATTTCAAAAAAATATAATGAAGAAACCTCTAAGATCTCATAATCATAAAATTTAACTTTTCCTTTTTTTGA